CCTGTAAGATATGTGTAGCAGGGATGTTGGCCTGTAAGATATGTGTAGCAATGATGTTGGCCTGTAAGATATGTGTAGCAGTGATGTTAACCTGTAAGATATGTGTAGCAGTGATGTTAACCTCTGGGGCTTGGCCATCTGATTTGCAATGTCCTACTACCAAACATATTTAAATAATATTCCTCACTCCTGTTGAAAGGAGAGTTTATATAATCCAGATTCTAGTAATACTGTTTACATTGTTGTAACTACTTGACAAATTGGTTATATAATTGTCTTCCCAAGGGAAGACAGTCGTGAGGAACATAACTTTTGCAAAATGAATAATTAGTTTAATATCAAAATCTGACTCTACAGACATATATTTATTATTGATTTAATGAACAAATTAATATAAATTTGTACCATACATTTTACTTAGTCATTAATTTAAATTTTATATACCAGTTGAACCTAAACAATTTTCTTTAGTTGTCGACAACAAAATCTTTAGACACAAAAAAGGTAGCAAATATTTCAAAGTAAAAGTGACAAATGTAAGAGCTTAATTACTAAGGTATCTCGAGTTTACTGAGAACAGGAGATGTTATGTTCCTCTCACAGGGTTATAAACCCATGGAACCGCCTACCCGCCGAAGGCATTCATAAACAGTCAGTGTGAACCCATCACAGGGAATATAACTCCCTCAGAGAGCGAAGATTAACGTGTTTTTAATGAGGGTTTCTCGGCGTCCGTTTACCCGGAGTCGACGAGAGCCACGCAGGGGCCTGACGGCTGAGTGAACAGCGCTTGTGATTCGTAGTCCTAAGTGAACAGTCCTTGGGATTCGAACCATTCTCTTGCTTCGATCTCCGGTGGAGGCGGAAGTAAACGGAAGAGGTTGTTTCCCCCTGATGCCTCTGTTCACCTAGCAGTAAATAGGTACGTAGGAGTTAGACAGCTGCTACGGGTTGCTTCCTGGGGGTGTGGAAGAAAAAAAAGGCCTGGTCGAAGACTGGGCCGCGGGGACGCTAAGCCCTGAAATCATCTCAAGATAACCTCAAGATAATGCAAGATATCTTAGAATTACGTAGGTAAAAGAAACAACAATAACATGTGTTCACTACAGTGTCACTGCTGACTGTGGAACTTGAAAAAACGTTTTATACCGATATATAAATCATTTTATAAGAACATACGGCGTAAATAGGTCGTAGGTGCCGATGAGCCGGCATCGTGATTGGCTAAGACAGGAAGATGGACAATGTTACCTTCTCTCTGATTGGCCAAACGAAATGCCCTAGTGACATCTAGCGAGACTTAAGTGAACTACTTGAAAAAATTTAATAATTGTTTACGAACACCTTTATGAATCGTACGTCGGGCTCTTCTTCCCAGTACTTAAGAACCTTCGCAGCGCAGCGAAGAACCACGTGCGCTTCTTGAGTCTAAGTCCAGGTGTTCACTACACCGAAGCTGTGAACGCAGTTAGCCTGAACAGGTGTTTCAATTAACCGAATTTAACATCCAGCAAATCCTTAAATACACCCTGAATGAATCTTGTTTGAATACCTTTCGAGGTACATTGACACACACGCCAGAGTCAACAAAGTAATGAAGTGGAGCGCGTGGCCCAACCTGCAGCTCTCCTCCGGCTGCTAAAGCTTCAGTGTTGGAGCTGAACAATACGTGACGGCTTAATACTGCGTTCGATATTCTCCCAGGCACACACAGAGAGAGACGGAGAGAGAGACAGAGAGAGAGAGACAGACGGACCAAGAGAGAGACAGAGAGAGAGCAAACACACCCCCACACCCCCACCAACCACCAATGCAACATTCTCTCCTATAACGCCAGTATTGGGACTGTGAGTGAGGCACTCAACAAAAACCCTCATCTCTGCCCGAGTGCAAGCTCCATTGTCTCGACTTGCAATGAATGGGTTCCAATTGAGAGCCGGAATCGGACTTAATAGGGTATTGTTGCTTGGGAAAAGTTGCACGGCGCATGCAACGTTCACAGGGGAAAGTTACTGCAATCTTTACATGCAAATGAGACGAGTTACTCACATGAGGGCAATGAGTCGAGTTACTCACATGAGGGTAATGAGACGAGTTACTCACATGAGGGCAATGAGACGAGTTACTCACATGAGGGTAATGAGACGAGTTACTCACATGAGGGTAATGAGATGAGTTACTCACATGAGGGTAATGAGATGAGTTACTCACATGAGGGTAATGAGATGAGTTACTCACATGAGGGTAATGAGATGAGTTACTCACATGAGGGTAATGAGACGAGTTACTCACATGAGGGCAATGAGACGAGTTACTCACATGAGGGTAATGAGACGAGTTACTCACATGAGGGTAATGAGATGAGTTACTCACATGAGGGTAATGAGATGAGTTACTCACATGAGGGTAATGAGATGAGTTACTCACATGAGGGTAATGAGACGAGTTACTCACATGAGGGCAATGAGACGAGTTACTCACATGAGGGTAATGAGATGAGTTACTCACATGAGGGTAATGAGAGGAGTTACTCACATGAGGGTAATGAGATGAGTTACTCACACGGGGGTAGAACCGTTCTCATTTTAAAGAGGACGGTGAGGATAATATGAACAACACCATACTGACTCACCAGTCTGACACGGTTCATACTGACTCACCAGTCTGACACGGTTCATACTGACTCACCAGTCTGACACGGTTCATACTGACTCACCAGTCTGACACGGTTCATACTGATTCACCAGTCTGACACGGTTCATACTGACTCACCAGTCTGACACGGTTCATACTGACTCACCAGTCTGACACGGTTCATACTGACTCACCAGTCTGACACGGTTCATACTGACTCACCAGTCTGACACGGTTCATACTGACTCACCAGTCTGATACGGTTCATACTGACTCACCAATCTGACACGGTTCATACTGACTCACCAGTCTGACACGGTTCATACTGACTCACCAGTCTGACACGGTTCATACTGACTCACCAGTCTGACACGGTTCATACTGACTCACCAGTCTGACACGGTTCACACTGACTCACCAGTCTGACACGGTTCATACTGACTCACCAATCTGACACGGTTCATACTGACTCACCAATCTGACACGGTTCACACTGACTCACCAGTCTGACACGGTTCATACTGACTCACCAGTCTGACACGGTTCACACTGACTCACCAGTCTGACACGGTTCACACTGACTCACCAGTCTGACACGGTTCATACTGACTCACCAGTCTGACACGGTTCACACTGACTCACCAGTCTGACACGGTTCATACTGACTCACCAATCTGACACGGTTCATACTGACTCACCAGTCTGACACGGTTCACACTGACTCACCAGTCTGACACGGTTCATACTGACTCACCAATCTGACACGGTTCATACTGACTCACCAGTCTGACACGGTTCACACTGACTCACCAGTCTGACACGGTTCATACTGACTCACCAATCTGACACGGTTCATACTGACTCACCAATCTGACACGGTTCACACTGACTCACCAATCTGACACGGTTCATACTGACTCACCAATCTGACACGGTTCATACTGACTCACCAGTCTGACACGGTTCACACTGACTCACCAGTCTGACACGGTTCATACTGACTCACCAATCTGACACGGTTCATACTGACTCACCAATCTGACACGGTTCACACTGACTCACCAATCTGACACGGTTCATACTGACTCACCAATCTGACACGGTTCATACTGACTCACCAATCTGACACGGTTCATACTGACTCACCAATCTGACACGGTTCACACTGACTCACCAGTCTGACACGGTTCATACTGACTCACCAGTCTGACACGGTTCACACTGACTCACCAGTCTGACACGGTTCATACTGACTCACCAATCTGACACGGTTCATACTGACTCACCAGTCTGACACGGTTCACACTGACTCACCAGTCTGACACGGTTCATACTGACTCACCAATCTGACACGGTTCATACTGACTCACCAATCTGACACGGTTCATACTGACTCACCAATCTGACACGGTTCATACTGACTCACCAGTCTGACACGGTTCACACTGACTCACCAGTCTGACACGGTTCATACTGACTCACCAATCTGACACGGTTCACACTGACTCAGCAGTCTGACACGGTTCACACTGACTCAGCAGTCTGACACGGATCATACTGACTCACCAGTCTGACACGGTTCACACTGACTCAGCAGTCTGACACGGATCATACAGACGTGTGTCATAAATCACATTGACTAGACACCATCAAACCAATAACTATCTCTACACGAAGTTGTATAAACCTTGTGTATTGTGTGTGTGTATTATATAAACTTTATCATACACTGACGACTGCGTGTGTATGTTATACATGCCGGTAAACACAATTTGTTCAGGAATGCGCAAGGTTACTCTCCAGGTTGTTCCAGGGTGTTCCAGGTTGTTCCAGAGTAAACCAGGGTGTTCCAGGGTGTTCCAGGGTGTTCCAGGGTGTTCCAGGGTGTTCCAGAGTAAACCAGGGTGTTCCAGGGTATTCCAAGGTGTTCCAGGATGTTCCAGAGTAAACCAGGGTGTTCCAGAGTAAACCAGGGTGTTCCAGGGTGTTCCAAGGTGTTCCAGGGTGTTCCAGAGTAAACCAGGGTGTTCCAGGGTATTCCAAGGTGTTCCAGGATGTTCCAGAGTAAACCAGGGTGTTCCAGAGTAAACCAGGGTGTTCCAGGGTGTTCCAAGGTGTTCCAGGGTGTTCCAGAGTAAACCAGGGTGTTCCAAGGTGTTCCAGGGTGTTCCAGAGTAAACCAGGGTGTTCCAGGGTGTTCCAGGGTGTTTCAGAGTAAACCAGGGTGTTCCAGCGTGTTCCAAGGTGTTCCAGAGTAAACCAGGGTGTTCCAGCGAGTTCCAGGGTGCTTCGGAAAAAGCTAGGGTGTTACAGATTATTCCAGGTGGTCCTCACTAGCAACTGGGCTGAACTATGTTGAGTTGGTAATGCAGCAGGTACACCAAGAGGCCCCGTGGCAACACAAGAGGCCCGTGGCAACACAAGAGGCCCAGTGGCAACACAAGAGGCCCCGTGGCAACACAAGAGGCTCCGTGGCAACACAAGAGGCCCCGTGGCAACACAAGAAGCCCCGTGGCAACACAAGAGGCCCCGTGGCAACACAAGAGGCTCCGTGGCAACACAAGAGGCTCCGTGGCAACACAAGAGGCCCCGTGGCAACACAAGAGGCCCCGTGGCAACACAAGAGGCCCCGTGGCAACACAAGAGGCTCCGTGGCAACACAAGAGGCCCCGTGGCAACACAAGAAGCCCCGTGGCAACACAAGAGGCCCCGTGGCAACACAAGAGGCCCCGTGGCAACACAAGAGGCCCCGTGGCAACACAAGAGGCCCCGTGGCAACACAAGAGGCTCCGTGGCAACACAAGAGGCCCCGTGGCAACACAAGAGGCTCCGTGGCAACACAAGAGGCTCCGTGGCAACACAAGAGGCCCCGTGGCAACACAAGAAGCCCCGTGGCAACACAAGAGGCCCCGTGGCAACACAAGAGGCCCAGTGGCAACACAAGAAGCCCCCGTGGCAACACAAGAGGCCCCGTGGCAACACAAGAGGCCCCGTGGCAACACAAGAGGCCCCGTGGCAACACAAGAGGCCCCGTGGCAACACAAGAGGCTCCGTGGCAACACAAGAGGCCCCGTGGCAACACAAGAAGCCCCGTGGCAACACAAGAGGCCCCGTGGCAACACAAGAGGCCCCGTGGCAACACAAGAGGCCCCGTGGCAACACAAGAGGCCCCGTGGCAACACAAGAGGCTCCGTGGCAACACAAGAGGCCCCGTGGCAACACAAGAGGCTCCGTGGCAACACAAGTGGCCCCGTGGCAACACAAGAGGCCCCGTGGCAACACAAGAGGCCCCGTGGCAACACAAGAGGCTCCGTGGCAACACAAGTGGCCCCGTGGCAACACAAGAGGCCCCGTGGCAACACAAGAGGCCCCGTGGCAACACAAGAGGCTCCGTGGCAACACAAGAGGCCCCGTGGCAACACAAGAGGCTCCGTGGCAACACAAGTGGCCCCGTGGCAACACAAGAGGCCCCGTGGCAACACAAGAGGCTCCGTGGCAACACAAGAAGCCCCGTGGCAACACAAGAGGCCCCGTGGCAACACAAGAGGCTCCGTGGCAACACAAGAGGCCCCGTGGCAACACAAGAGGCTCCGTGGCAACACAAGAGGCCCCGTGGCAACACAAGAGGCTCCGTGGCAACACAAGAGGCCCCGTGGCAACACAAGAGGCCCCGTGGCAACACAAGAGGCCCCGTGGCAACACAAGAGGCCCCGTGGCAACACAAGAGGCCCCGTGGCAACACAAGAGGCCCCGTGGCAACACAAGAGGCCCCGTGGCAACACAAGTGGCCCCGTGGCAACACAAGAGGCCCCGTGGCAACACAAGAGGCCCAGTGGCAACACAAGAGGCCCCGTGGCAACACAAGAGGCCCCGTGGCAACACAAGAGGCCCCGTGGCAACACAAGTGGCCCCGTGGCAACACAAGAGGCCCCGTGGCAACACAAGAGGCCCCGTGGCAACACAAATAGTAAATAACCTTCAAGGTGTGCTGGCGCCAGACGGGGGGTGACAGGTGGCGGTGGTGGGGGAGACAGTCACCCCAGACGGCGGGTGACAGGTGGCGGTGGAGGGGGAGACAGTCACCCCAGACGGCGGGTGACAGGTGGCGGTGGTGGGGGAGACAGTCACCCCAGACGGGGGGTGACAGGTGGCGGTGGTGGGGGAGACACACACCCCAGACGGGGGGCTGACAGGTGGTGGTGGTGGGGGAGACAGTCACCCCAGACGGGGGGTGACAGGTGGCGGTTAAGGGGGAGACAGTCACCCCAGACGGCGGGTGACAGGTGGCGGTGGTGGGGGAGACAGTCACCCCAGACGGGGGTGACAGGTGGCGGTGGTGGGGGAGACAGTCACCCCAGACGGGGGTGACAGGTGGCGGTGGTGGGGGAGACAGTCACCCAGACGGGGGGCTGACAGGTGACGGTGGTGGGGGAGACAGTCACCCCAGACGGGGGGTGACAGGTGGCGGTGGTGGGGGAGACAGTCACCCCAGACGGGGGGTGACAGGTGGCGGTGGTGGGGGAGACAGTCACCCCAGACGGGGGGTGACAGGTGGCGGTGGTGGGGGAGACAGTCACCCCAGACGGGGGGTGACAGGTGGCGGTGGTGGGGGAGACACACACCCCAGACGGGGGGCTGACAGGTGGTGGTGGTGGGGGAGACAGTCACCCCAGACGGGGGGTGACAGGTGGCGGTGGTGGGGGAGACACACACCCCAGACGGGGGGCTGACAGGTGGCGGTGGTGGGGGAGACAGTCACCCCAGACGGGGGGTGACAGGTGGCTGTGGTGGGGGAGACAGTCACCCCAGACGGGGGGGGGGGGGGTGACAGGTGGCGGTGGTGGGGGGAGACAGTCACCCCAGACGGGGGGTGACAGGTGGCGGTGGTGGGGGAGACAGTCACCCCAGACGGGGGGTGACAGGTGGCGGTGGTGGGGGAGACAGTCACCCCTGACGGGGGGGGCTGACAGGTGCCGGTGGTGGGGGAGACAGTCACCCCAGACGTGGGGTGACAGGTGGCGGTGGTGGGGGAGACACACACCCCAGACGGGGGGGGGGGTGACATGGAAGATAACAACACAGGAGATAACTGGCATCATTAGGTGAGCATAAAGGTGTGGGAGCATGTGATATATCTCCCCGCCTGGTGACAGGCGCTCCAGGCCCTCAGAGAGCCTCCAGGTCTGCCGCCAGACTCACGAAGCTGTTACGCAAGTACTTACGAACGTGTACATCTTTCCTCAGTCTTTGATGGCTTTGGTTACATTTATTAAACAGTTTACAAGCATGAAAACTTCCCAATCAACTGTTGGTATTGTTATAAACAGCCTCCTGGTGCTTCGGAGCTCATTAACTGTTTAAGAATTGTAAACAAAGCCGCCAAAGATTGAGAAAAGATGTACAAGTTCGTAAGTGCTTGCGTAACCGCTTCATGAATCTCGGCCCTGCTCTTTATCCCCTAAACTGTACAGCTGTTAACAAGAGAAACACGGAGGATTCGCACACCACTGAAGAAAAGTTGACAAATCAAAGTGTATAATGGAATATATATATATATATATATATATATATATATATATATATATATATATATATATATATATATATATATATATATATATATATATATATATATATATATATATATATATATATATATATATATATATATATATATATATATATTGGTAGCAGTCTTTCCTGTAGACATATATTATTAAATATGACCGAAAAAGTAAGATTAATAATTCTAACACGAATTTTCTCAATATTTCTTATGTTTCTTTTCACTGTCGATGGAAATTGAAAAATCAATTCTCCAAAATTCATTTTTATTTCTAGTCTGACGCGACACTTGAACGCGTTTCGTAATAACTTATTACATTTTCAAAGACTTTAGCTTACACTCACACAACTATAACCTGCAAACACTAAACAGAGTTCTACTATGCTATCATTAAAACAGCTTTCATCTTATATACCCGCATTTGGGTGAGATGATATGTTACAACAGTTTTGGATGAGGTGAACAAAACTTTCAACACAAGATAGAGCAAACTTTCAACACAAGACAGAACACGGTGCCATGGGTATAAATTGAGTAAATTAAAGGGAAGAATGGAAGTAACTGCAAAGGGCCTATTGGCCCATATTTCTTGATGCTTCTATATTGGTGTGGAGTCTTGAAGTGGGTAGAATATAGTTGTGCATTAATTGGCTGTTGATTTCTTGATGTGTAGTGCCTCGCAGATGTCAAGCCGCCTGCTATCGCTGTATCTATCGATGATTTCTGTGTTGTTTGTTAAGACTTCTATAATGATGGTCTGGTTGTGGGAAGAGATTATATGTTCCTTAATGGAGCCCTGTTGCTTATGCATCGTTAATCGCCTGGAAAGAGATGTTGTCTTGCCTATACACTGAGTTCTTTGAGGCTTACAGTCTCCAAGTGGGCATTTGAAGGCATAGACGACGTTGGTCTCTTTTAAAGCGTTCTTCTTTGTGTCTGGAGAGTTTCTCATGAGTAGGTTGGCCGTTTTCTTGGTTTTACAGTAGATCGTCAATTGTATCTTCTGATTTTTGTCTGTAGGGATAACACTTCTATTAACAATATCTTTCAGGACCCTTTCCTCCGTTTTATGAGCTGTGGAAAAGAAGTTCCTGTAAAATAGTCTAATAGGGGGTATAGGTGTTGTGTTAGTTGTCTCTTCAGAGGTTGCATGGCGTTTCACCTTCCTTCTTATGATGTCTTCAACGAAACCATTGGAGAAGCCTTTGTTGACTAGGACCTGCCTTACCCTAAAGGGAGCCAGTCGGCCGAGCGGACAACACACTGGACTTGTAATCCTGTGGTCCTGGGTTCGATCCCAGGCGCCGGCGAGAAACAATGGGCAGAGTTTCTTTCACCCTATGCCCCTGTTACCTAGCAGTAAAATAGGTACCTGGGTGTTAGTCAGCTGTCACGGGCTGCTTCCTAGGGGTGGAGGCCTGGTCGAGGACCGGGCCGCGGGGACACTAAAAAAAAAAGCCCCGAAATCATCTCAAGATAACCTCAAGATAACCTCAAGATAACCCTACAGAGTTCTTCATCGACTTGCTTCCATCCTGAGCTGTGACTGAGAGCACGGTCGACATAAGCGTTAACAACACTCCTCTTGTACCTGTCTGGGCAGTCACTGTTGGCATTGAGGCAGATTCCTATGCCTCATTCCATTTCGGTCATATTTAATAATAATAATAATATATATATATATATATATATATATATATATATATATATATATATATATATATATATATATATATATATATATATATATATGCATACATATATCTATATAGATAGATAGATAGATAAGAAAGGGGATAGGGAGCAGACACTAGACTACAGATTAGCATCACTAACAAGTATCAGCTGCAAGATACTCTAAAGGATAATAAGGACATGATTAGTCCTGACCCCACCAAGAGAGCATCAGTCCTGACCCCACCAAGAGAGCATTAGTCCTGACCCCTCCAAGAGAGCATTAGTCCTGACCCCACCAAGAGAGCATCAGTCCTGACCCCTCCAAGAGAGCATTAGTCCTGACCCACCAAGAGAGCATCAGTCCTGACCCCTCCAAGAGAGCATTAGTCCTGACCCCACCAAGAGAGCATCAGTCCTGACCCCTCCAAGAGAGCATCAGTCCTGACCCCACCAAGAGAGCATTAGTCCTGACCCCACCAAGAGAGCATTAGTCCTGACCCCACCAAGAGAGCATTAGTCCTGACCCCACCAAGAGAGCACTAGTCCTGACCCCACCAAGAGAGCATTAGTCCTGACCCCACCAAGAGAGCATTAGTCCTGACCCCACCAAGAGAGCATTAGTCCTGACCCCACCAAGAGAGCATCAGTCCTGACCCCACCAAGAGAGCATTAGTCCTGACCCCACCAAGAGAGCATTAGTCCTGACCCCACCAAGAGAGCATCAGTCCTGACCCCACCAAGAGAGCATTAGTCCTGACCCCTCCAAGAGAGCATTAGTCCTGACCCCACCAAGAGAGCATTAGTCCTGACCCCTCCAAGAGAGCATTAGTCCTGACCCCACCAAGAGAGCATTAGTCCTGACCCCACCAAGAGAGCATTAGTCCTGACCCCACCAAGAGAGCATTAGTCCTGACCCCTCCAAGAGAGCATTAGTCCTGACCCCACCAAGAGAGCATCAGTCCTGACCCCACCAAGAGAGCATCAGTCCTGACCCCACCAAGAGAGCATTAGTCCTGACCCCACCAAGAGAGCATCAGTCCTGACCCACCAAGAGAGCATCAGTCCTGACCCACCAAGAGAGCATTAGTCCTGACCCCACCAAGAGAGCATCAGTCCTGACCCACCAAGAGAGCATCAGTCCTGACCCACCAAGAGAGCATCAGTCCTGACCCACCAAGAGAGCATCAGTCCTGACCCCACCAAGAGAGCATCAGTCCTGACCCCACCAAGAGAGCATCAGTCCTGACCCCACCAAGAGAGCATCAGTCCTGACCCCACCAAGAGAGCATCAGGTGTGTAAACATGTACCAACCCCACCAAACACTAAGCAGGCGAACGTAAGGGATGAGAATCATGCCTAAAGTACCTACTGGAGTTTTACGATAAAGAAACAAATTAACACAAGACGGAGAAGGTTGAGAAACTTGGATATTGCTGGACTTCCAGAAAGCCTTTGACACAGTTCCACACAGGAGCGTGAACTTGAGAGGCCGGCGGGGACCAGTTGAAGAGCATTAATATGGGTAAGAGAATATCTACAAGTCGGGAGTCAGAGACTGGGAGAGAGGGGCAAGAATTGGGACACACAGAACACCTGAGGCATGGGTGTTTGGGACCAGCCCAAGTTAATACGAAGAATACACACAGATGTTGAATCTAAGACTCCAAGATGGCCTCGACTAGCTACAGATTTGGTCCAAGAAATGGCACTTCGACGTCAACACA